TCCAGACAAATGGCCTATTCAGGTTTTTTTATTTTTCCAATAGGAGAATGTGAACTCTATCTCTGCTTGGTAGTCTGACAAAGCAAATGAATGTGTGAACATGAACTTACAGAAATATATTTCATGTATTGGCAGAGAACTTTGCTTTGAACTTTCTGCTATTCAGTCATCATCAAAAGCTTGGTTGCTGAGACACTGGATCAAAGTGGTGGAAGAAGGAGCAGAAACGGATAGGTTCACTTCCAATTTCTCATTGAAAAAGCTAGAAGATACTAAGAGGTAGCCAGACAATAGCAATGTGAGTTAGGGATAAAAACAATCCAGAATAAAAAAATTCTGATGGGATTTCCAAAAATTAAAATCTTGATGAAAATATTGCTCAAATTTGTGTTTTTGTTGATTTTCTAATCTAGTTGTTTCATCTGTTGCTGAGAGAGGCGTTAATGTCTCCACTATGACTGTGGAATTTTTTATTTATCCTTTTAAGTCTGTCCAGCTTTGCTTCATGTATTTTCAAGTTCTGTTAATAGGTACATATTTATGATTGTTTTATAATTTATTTGTGATTTATGATTGTTATGGCTTCCTGGTTACTCTTCTATTGTTATGACATGTCTGCAAATACTTTCTGGTGTTGAAGTCTATTTTATCAGATATTAATAAATCCACTTCAGTCTTTTAAAAAAAATTCTTGATGAAGACTGAGTAAGAGATACAGTCCTGTCTAAATCGAAATCTGGGGAACCCTCTACAACAAGCCCCAGATAAGGCAGGAACTAACATCCTCTGTCTACCCCTCACTGTGGTGGCCCTTCCCCAACTCCCTGGACCTGGCTTCCAGATCCTGCTGCAAATATGTCTCCAACAGCTACCTATTTTCTGTATCCAGAGGCTACAGTCCCTAGGCCTCCTCACGGCTGGGGATGAGGGAACCTGTGGTGGTCATTGCACTGTGCAGTGAATGCCCCTCAGGGACAGTCCTGTGAAGCAGGCATGGGGAGCACACACTGAGAACAGCTACAGGTTGCATCTGAATCTCTTGCACTGAAGAGAACCCAGCAGGCAGAGCGAGAGCTCTCTCCCCATCCAGTAGATCCCACTAGAGGATGCCCCGTGGTCCACAAAAAGGGAGGGGTAGATTGGAAACTTGCTGTGGAAAAAGCATGGACCTGAAGGAAAAGCTGGAAAATTCACAGTGAAAAACACACGTTCCCATCTTTTGGCAAATTGTAGGTATGGAGAGATTTCTGTCCTTCGATGTATGAATAGGGAGAGGAAAAAAAAATACCATGAGGCTTATAAGAGGGGCTGTGATGCACAGGGAAAGGTAGCAAAAATACTGAGAGAAAGAGCTCATTTTGAACATGATTTTCTATAGAAAATATAAGTAAAACCATATGCTAGGTGCTCCCAGTAAGATACAAACAGTATGGGAAACAAAGTACAGGGTGCCATATGGCAAAAATTAAGTAAGTCGTATTTTGATTAGATCTAACACAATTTAGGTCTCCTTCCCTGTCAGGCCTGTGGCACTTCCATATCCCCACACTTTTGCACGTGCTGTCCTGCCAGTGCCTTCCCTCCCTCCAGAGTCTCACAAATCCGGTTCATGCTGCCCACACGCCACCTCCTCTGAAGGCCTTCCCAGCTGCTGCAGGTACCTCCTCACTGCTTACTCTACACACCAGCCCAGTGGGTTTTCATACCCCAGCACTGGACATTTCAAATCGTATTTGTAATTCACAATAGCATAACCGTGAATTCTCAATGCCAGGACTCATATTTCATTTATTTCTATACCCCTTACTCATCATAGTTTCTGATATACAGTTAAGAAGAATAAATCAATGAGAGCCTTGGAAAGATAAGGATAGGTGACAACCTCTTTTTATTACTGGGACCTCAATGACTGTCCATAGGACAAAGGCAAAGGATAAGGGGGAACGAGGAAATGAGAAAAAGAATTAAAACATACTGAAAATCTGCTGTGCTCAAGACATTGAAGTGCTGATTATATACTAAGGGGGCATTTGACATCTTTCCCTCCTTTTCAAAGAATTACACTTTTAGCACTGACCCTCAGGGCATGGCATCATGGCCATTGGCAGCCATCGTTTTAAGAGATTAGTGCAGCACCAGAAATCCTCCATTGAAACATGGATACTCAAAGGTTATTGGCAAATTGATTTTGCAAAACTTGAATAGCATTTCCCCTTAGAAACAGTGTGCATAAGTCCTTAGACCAGACTGCAAGTACTTACTTAACCCAGAAGGCTGCTAGATTTTATCAGAAACTCTATCACCTGATAGCCAAAATGGTCCTATAACCAAAATGGTACTTCCTGCCTGTCTCACAGATGTGCTGTGAATCAACTAAAATAAGGCAAGTGAGACTCTTCTGAAGAGTGCACCATGCTGTAAGATACTGTCTGCTGGCAAATGCATGCTCCCTCTGCAAATTCCACCACAGCAGCGGGAGCACTGCTCTCTCTTCCTGGCATCATTTGCCCTTATGATCTGGTGCTCACATGCATGGGGATTAAGAAGAGAAACAGAAGTTGTCTGTGGAACATACATAAAAGTATTAACCCGAGTGTCTACTGATTAATGTGAGAAAATCATTGTGGGGATGATCATCAGGATGACGGCAACATGTCAAAGTATTTCAAGATGTCTGCGATTTAAGGGTAAGCGATGGTAGCAAAGGTGAGGTCAGGGCTGACTCACATTCAATGCCGTCTCCTGTACTTCCTCTCAAATAATAGGTTGAAGCACCCCACATGCTGTTTCCTCTTCTCAGACAGCCCGTTTCTTGTCGGCAGCCCCTGGAAAACCTGTTTGTTGACAGTTTATCCCACTTTGTAAAGCTTGTCTACTGTGCAATCCAGGCAGTTTTCCAGGTAGCTGGCACCTTGTTTTTTTTTTTTTTTTTTAAAGATTTTATTTATTTATTTGACAGAGAGAGAGAGAGCACAAGCAGGTGGAGTGGCAGGCAGAGGGAGAGGGAGAAGCAGGCTCCAGGAGAAGCAGGCTCCCTGAGGAGCAGGGAGCCTGATGCGGGGCTCGATTCCAGTACCCTGGGATCACGACCCAAGCCAAAGGCAGTCGCTTAACCAACTGAGCCACCCAGGTGCCCCGGCACCTTGTTTTCTTTTAGGCTTACATTGCACACTTCTGTGATGATGTGTATCGCATTTTGCTTTGGTCTGAGAAGCAGATTACCTCTGGAGTCCCCAGTAGGCTGAGTTCAGAGAAGCCAAATGTTCCAGAGAGCCCTCTCCAAAAAGGGAATCCTAAAGATTCCAGGGCTGCCCAAGCTCACTCATGGTACCACTCTGAGCAGAAGCAGGTGAGGAATTCTCCTCTCCCATTCCAGCCTTGAGCCAAAAAGCCTTGTCCATCACTGTACAAAACCCACCCTGGCTGAGAAATCAGTGGAGAGAAGCTGCCTCATTGCATGACAGGCTGTGCCTGGGCCTGGAAGTCTTTTCCTGCCTCCATGCCTCCATGTCCAGCCTCCCGTCTTTGCTGTGTGTTCGGGCCTCCATGCTTTGTCCACCTTGTCTCTGGTTCAATTCAGCCCCAACTCTAGCTTGGCCACCTTGATTTAGCTGACCCTCCTGCCTGGACAACTGGCCACTTCTATCAAGGCCTCTTTGGCTTTTCTAGGCACCCTCTTTTGAGAATGTCCCACACGTGATGGGCCCAAGGAGGGGGGTCTGGCACTCTGGGAATACTTCTCCAAATCACTTGGTTATACCACCAAGGACTCAAGTCACTCATCTTCCACACCCTAAACGACTGACTTATGAAACAGCAAAACCGTGTCTTTTAGAGGCAAAGGTCTTTCCAAATCATTCATATTTCACTTCAAGTTTTCTCACTGGAGCCCGACGTGGGGCTTGAACTCACAACCCTGAGATTTAGGGTCAGATCAAGAGTCCGATGCTTAACTGGCTGAGGTACCCAGGCTCTCTCTCTCTTTCTTTCTTTTTTTTTTTTTATTAAAGATTTTATTTATTTATTTGAGAGACAGAGAGAATGAGAGAGAGAGCACATGAGAGGGGGGAGGGTCAGAGGGAGAAGCAGACTCCCTGCTGAGCAGGGAGCCCGATGCGGGACTCGATCCAGGGACTCCAGGATCATGACCTGAGCCGAAGGCAGTCGCTTAACCAACTGAGCCACCCAAGCGCCCACTCTTTCTTTTTTTTTTACATAGAAGAAACCAAATCTTTTCTACTTAACACACCATCCTGACAAAGTCCTTACTGGTTTTTGGTCAGCCTCCCCCACCAACTAATCTTTATTTTATGTGAAAAGGAAATGGAATGCCACTAGAAAGTACATTTCAACTAATCAGGTGTATTGAGAACGAAGGTAAGAAGCACCACAAAGACCAAACTAGACTGTAATTAAGGAAAAGACAGCATTTATTACTGGAGTGCTGAGCAAAACCAGAGAGCAACAAACAGAAGACGTGACTTAAATCCCTGGTTTGCAACTGTGACCTTAGGTACTTTACTTAGGCGCTTCAGGCCGTTTCCTCATTCATATGAAGGAAAAAAGGACCAGCGATTCTAGTCTTTCCTAGGCCCACCATTCTATAACTTTATGACCCAAATCAGTCTAAGATTATAAATTTCTATTCCATAAATTTATAAGCCTAAAAAGAAATTAAAACATATGAAAATATAAATAATTAAAACCAAGGAATTTTAAAAATGCATTCCAAAGAAACACTTGCTATTCATTGCTATGAAGCATGAGTCTATTACAAACATGTCACTACTGAAGCTTAACATATCACAAACAAAAAGTGGTATAATTTTAATAAGTTTGCCTTTGGATCTCATTCCTCTTACTATTTTGAGATTGTTGCTGTCTACTTATAATCTATCACTATATCTCCATATGTGTACACACACATACACACACGAAATGGGAAAAAGCAAAGAAGCACCAGGATTAGCTCTGACCAAAGAGGAAGAAATGGGACTTACAGGAGCTGCGGAGTTTTTGACTGTGACACTGGGGGTGGTGGCTCGCAGGGCTCCACTCACACCATGGTAGTATTTGAAGCAGATCTTAGTTTCAGCTGAAAAACAAAAATCAAATGGTACTGAGAAGCAGGGTATAACCCAGGAAGAGATAACCATCTCCAGAGGGACAGCCCCAGGAACGGCCACGTAATTCCTCCCATGAGCCAAGAAGGCCATATCTGATGATGCTTATTCAACATGTGGCTCCATGGACAGGTCTGACATCTTTCTAAAAATGTGTCATCAAAAATTGCTCTTTGTACCCAAATGAAATCCATTCTTTCAACTTCTCAGCATCCATCCAATCCTATTAGAAGTTATTTGTAATAATCCCTTACTCCTAAGATTCTAGGTGGTTTGATGCCTACCACCAGTCTGTTCTGTAATTTTTGGTTATTTAATTCATTGTAATTAGTATCTTAGCAACTTGGAGGAGGAATTTGAGAAGTTACTGAAATACATGGATGGGAGGCATATTTTCCAAACTCTGAGACACATCAGTGATAACCTCTTTGCATCACAGTTTGTTTTTCTTCAAAGTCCTATCTATGTAAATAGAAAAGATACGGCCTTGGGAGCCTACATTGCCTGGGTTTGCCTTTTGGCTCCATTACTGACAATCTGTGCGACAAAAATCAGGTCCCTTAACCTCCCTTACTCCATGTTCCTTGTAAAATAAATAGAACTAACAATAGTACCCACCTCATAAGGTATCGGATAAGCAAATAAAAGTTCTTAGAATGCAAATAATGCATGATGAGCATGATGACTAAAGACAAAATCTGTGGCCAACCTGAGTCTAGTTCATTTGAAGGTGACTTGCTTTTCCCAGTTTACTGTTTGTAGGATTTTTCATTTAAATTTGAAAAATTTGCCAGGCTATGTCTTAGCCCCTTATATTAATTTTGTTTGGAACAACATGAGAAATGTCCAATTTGAGATCCTGTTTCTCAAATCTGGGAATTTGTCATCGATTGTAATGTTTCAAAAAACAATGTCGACAATTTTCTTAGCATGAATTTTAGATATGTTCATTATGGAAAATATGGACAATGAAGAAAACTATAAAAAAATCTTCTATGAGTGTTTTTATGTACATCTGAGATTATAAGCTTTAATATTATATGTAATGTAGTAAAATAATAATGCAATCAAACTGCATTTTAAAAAATTAACATTAAACAATCAGGTTCAACTATCAAACCTTTGTTGACAACATTATTTGTTTTATGGAATCATTGAATTGATTTGTAATTTTAAGTATTCCTGTAATTTTGGAAATTTAGGCTTGTCCCTAAAAATGAATGACTTTTTGAAAATTATGTTGAAGTTCAAGTTTGCTCCGTAGGATAATGGAGCAAAACTTGCTGGCTACCTACTCAACACCCATTCTCCCTTTCCTCCTGAATGACAAAATCTCAATTTTACTTTGGATGGTAATGTCCAGCTAAAGTACTATATTTTGGAGCCTCCCTTGCAGATAACATTTATGTTGTTTTCCACTGTTATTTTGGGGTTTGTGTTATCTGTAAACTTTACTATATAGGGAAAGCTTTCTTGACATAGAAGATATGAGAATTGCAATATTCTTTAGAAGATGTGAATATTTTAAGGATTTTCCCTTTCTGTGGCCAAACTGCTTCCCAAAAAGCACTTTACACTTTCATCAGAAAATGTAGCTCTGACCATTTCATGGAACCCTTGTTAATATTGAGTATTATCAATTAAATATAAGTTTAAAGTAGTATTTCATTTTTATTTCATGCGTTTGATTAGTAGTGAGATTAAACATTTTTTCATCAAATTTTAATTAGCTATTTGTATTTACTCTTTTTTATGCATTGAACTGTACTTGTCAAGACTTCCCACTGCCTGGGTGATACCTGGGTGGTCACCTTTTAGTGGATATGCTCTTCCTTTAGATACATCAATACTTTCCAATTCCCTCCTAAGTCATTCCTTCCCTGCAGTGATTTTGCATTATTGTTGATTGCCTTTTAAGCTCTTCTTGTGGACAATCATACAACCTAGTTCTGCATTCTTCAAGGCACCTCAGAGTTATCTGCATGTTGTTAGGTATACACATCCGGATCCACTACTGCTTCAGCCTGAAAGGCAGATATCTTGTAGGTTAGGGATCAGGGGGGGACACTGAATAAAGCAGCAACCTCACTGAGCCAGTGCAATTTAAGTTCCTCTGCTTGTAGGTGCCTGTGACATCAGCAAGGAGGGGCCAATGGCTTCACCTCAAGCACAGTTGGGTGGAAGAAAATTTTAGAAACAGGCATTCTAAACAGACACCACTAGCTTTCCTTTCAAATAAAATTATTCCAATAATTTTATTATTCCAAGAAAGGTCAGGGTAGAGAAGAGCCATATGATCCTCAGAAAAAGCATTTGACAAAATACAGTATCCATTCGTGATTAAAAAAAATCCCAACAAAGTAGGGATAGATGCAACATAATGAAGTATCATCATAAAGTCCATATGTGAAAGACCCAGGGCTAATATCACCTTCAAAAGGGAAAAACTGAGAGCTTTTCCTCTACAGTCAGGAACAAGACAGAGATGTCCACTCTTACCATTACTATTTAACACAGTACTGGAAGTCTTAGCCTCAGCAATCAGGAAACAAAAAGAAATAAAGGCAACTAAATTGGCAAGGGAGAAATCAAATTTTCACTATTTACAGACAACACAGTACTCTATGCAGAAAACCCGAAAGACGCCACCCCCCAAATGCTAAAACTAATACATGAATTCAACAAAGTTGCAAGATATAAAATCAATGCACAGAAATCTGTTGCATTTCTATACACCAATAATGAAGCAGCAGAAAGAGAAATCAAGGAATTGATCCCATTTACAATTGCACCAAAACCCATAAGATACCTAGGAATAAATCTAACTAAAGAAGTAAAAGATCTGTACTCTGAAAACTATAGAATACTTATGAAAGAAATTGAAGAGGACACAAAGAAATGGAAAAGCATTCCATGCTCATGGATTAGAAGAACAAACATTGTTAAAATGTCTATACTACCCAAAGCAATCAACACATTTAATGTAATCCCTATCAAAATACCACCAGCATTTTTCACAGAGCTAGAACAAACAATCCTAAAATTTGTATGGAATAACAAAAGACCCTGAGTAGCCAAAGCAATCCTGAAAAAGAAAAGCAAAATTGGACCTCAATGTGAGACAGGAATCCATCAAAATCCTAGAGGAGAACATAGGCAGTAACCTCTTTGACATCACCCACAGCAACTTCTTTTAAGATACATCTCCAAAAGCTGGTGAAACAAAAGCAAAAATGAACTTTTGGGACTTCATCAAGATAAAAAGCTTCTGCACAGCAAAGGAAACAGTCAACAAAACAAAGAGGCAACCCACAGAATGGGAGGAGATATTTGCAAATGACTCTACAGATAAAGGGCTAGTATCTGAGATCTATAAAGAACTTCTCAAACTCAACACACAAAAAACAAATAATCAAGTCAAAAAATGGGCAGAAGATATGAAAAGACACTTCTCTGAAGAAGACATACAAATGGCAAATGGACACATGAAAAAATGTTCATCATCATTAGCCATCAGGGAAATTCAAATCAAAACCACATTGAGATACCACCTTACACGAGTTAGAATGGCAAAAATGGACAGGGAAAGAAACAACAAATGTTGGAGAGGTTGTGGAGAAAGCGGAACCCTCTTACACTGTTGGTGGGAATGCAAGTTGGTACAGCCACTTTGGAAAACAGTGTGGAAGTTCCTCAAAAAACTAAAAATAGAGCTACCCTATGACCCAGCAATTGCACTCCTGGGTATTTACCCCAAAGACACAGATGTAGTGAAAAGAAGGGCCATATGCACCCCAATGTTCATAGCAGCAATGTCTGCAATAGCCAAACTGTGGAAAAAGCTGAGATGCCCTTCAACAGATGAATGGATAAAGAAGATGTGGTCCATATATACAATGGAATATTACTCAGCCATCAGAAAGGATGAATACCCAACTTTTACATCAACATGGATGGGACTGGAGGAGATTATGCTAAGTGAAATAAGTCAAGCAGAGAAAGTCAATTATCATATGGTTTCACTTACTTGTGGAACATAAGGAACAGCATGGAGGACATTAGGAGAAGGAAGGGAAAAATGGGGGGGGAATCGGAGGGGGAGACGAACCATGAGAGAGTACGGACTCTGAGAAACAAACTGAGGGTTTTAGAGGGGAGGGGGGTGGGGGGATGGGTTAGCCTGGTGATGGGTATTAAAGAGGGCATGTACTGCATGGAGCACTGGGTGTTATGAACAAACAATGAATCATGGAACACTACACCAAAACAAATGATGTAATATATGGTGATTAACATAACAATAAAAAATTAAAAAAAACTAATGATGTATTGTATGGTGACTAACATAATATAATAAAATTAAAAAAAAATAAAAGCAAAACTGGAGGCATCACGATTCCGGACTTCAAGCTATATTACAAAGCTGTAGTCATTAAGACAGTATGGTACTGGCACAAAACCAGACACACAGATCAGTGGAACAGAATAGAAAACCCAGGAAGGGAACCACAACTATATGGTCAACTAATTTTGACAGAGCAGGAAAAATATCCAGTGGAATAAAAAGACAGTCTCTTCAACAAAATGGTGCTGGGAAAACTGGACAGCAACATGCGGAAGAATGAAACTGGACCACTTTCTTACACCAAACACAAAAATGAATTCAAAAGGGATTAAAGACCTAAATGTGAGACAGGAAACCATCAAAATCCTAGAGGAGAACACGGGTAGCAATTTTTTTAACCTCAGCCATAGCAACTTCTTACTAGACACATCATCAGAGGCAAGGGAAACAAAAGCAAAAAGGAACTATTGGGACTTTATCAAGATAAAAAGCTTCTTCACAGTAAAGGAAACAATCAACAAAACTAAAAGGCAGCATGTGAAATGGGAGAAGATATTTGCAAATGACATATCTGATAAAGGGTTAGTTTCCAAAATCTATAAAGAATTTACCAAAATCAACCCTCCC